AATAAAATAGTAAAACAAGTAAAAATAGTAGACATTTCAAATATCTAACTTTATATATTTTTTCTTTGATCGGGAAATGATTATTAAAATATTTTTGGAAAATATCTATAAATGTATAATGTACGTAGTTAGTGTCCTCAAGGTTGCATTCTTTATATACTTCATATCATTCTACCACTGATAGTGTGTCTTAATTTTTTGAATAGAAATTTGGTTAAGTTTTCTTTTATAAATTTTGGTTTTAGAATTTTTATTTATACTTGTATATTGATTTATTAAAAAGCAAATTGGGAAGTGATCCAAAATATCAGTTTTAACCAATGCTGGATCAAGGGGGCTAGAGGGGCTATAGACCCGGTCCCCGCAAATTTATGGACCCCAAAAAATTTTAGAGGATTTTTTTTTAAGTCAGTTTTAGGCTCTGGCACATAAAAAGACCTCCAAAAACAACCCTAGACCCCAAGAAGTCTCAATCCGCCACTGGTTTTAACTATAACTGTTTTTAAAATATAATCTAGAAATGCGTTTTTCAAGATTTTATCTATAACGGAAATTGAATTTGGGGTTATTCGCGTAGGTCTATTGATAATTGGAAAAATATAACATCTTGGAATATGTTATCAAAAAAATTAGTAATTGTTATTCTTATTGTATTTTAAACAATCTATGTTTAGATTACCTAAGTAAAATTTTTTTTTTTTGGCTCTCTATTGATTTTAAGAGAGACATCTTCTAAGTAGTTTGATTTTTTTCTTGTATCTCGATCAGACAGTCTATAACAAATTTAGCATGATTAAAATATTTTTATAAAAATTTTTGTCTACAAGTCCCGAAATGCAACAAATATGTAATAAATATTATTATTGAAAGTTCTCTATTAAAATAAAAATATATATTGTAAATTTATTTTAATTTACAAGTTTAAATTTCATGAAAACTAAAACGTTTAGAAGTTATATACATGTAAGGTTTACAACCTTCACAAAATAAGTTAGTAACCTTTACAGAATGAGTTGTTAACCGGTCTCTTTGTAAAATGAGTTTGTAACCTTCAAAAGATGAGTTGGTGAGTCGACGTAGCTCAACGTAAAATTTTTAAATTTTTAAAATATTTTATTTTATTTTAATAAAATTTTAACCGAAAACTTTTTTTAATTTTGCTTTTATCTGGTTTAATTATAAAAAAAAATTAATTGCGTTGCTTTCCCTAATTTGCTGAGCAGTTCGAACGATGGCTTTCTTTTGTCTTTATTTCCGGTCTCTAATCATTAAATTTTTTTTGAAAAACATCTTTATTTAGCAATAGTATAAAATATTATAACAAGATTTAGTATTTACCTCATTCCTGCAAGTAACCTCATACAATAAAAACAAAAAAAAAAACGAATTACGTCCATGAAAGTTGAAATTACTACAAGTTGACAAATGTGGACATTTTGAACAACAAAATGGTCCAAATTAAAAAAATTTCAGAAATATTTGTTCTTTTTTTATACGTCAAATAAAGACGTAAATATATATTTTTTTAAATATTCTTTAAATTTTTTGGTTCTAGGAAAAAATCCCCCTGGAAAACATCCCGCCGAGAAAAAATCCCCCTGGGAAATATCCTCCCAAAAAAAGAAATTTTTTTTTACATGATAATTATCAATATGCAGTTATGTTTATTTCTTTATTTATTTTAAATATATATATAAAATACTTCATTTTTCATCAAAATGTCAAGTTAGGCGCTATTCCTCGAAAGTAGCGAAGGTGAAACCCTAACCATAACCCTAACCCTGACGAACTGCGAACTGGTAAAATATGAACTTTTTTGCGAACTATCGTAGTTAATTTAGCAGTATATTTTAAGGACTTTTAAGCGAAAAAAATATTTAAAAAGAATAAAAGGAAGTTAAGTGTAACTAGAAGAAAACAATATGAAAATATATATATATATATTTTAATTATTTGATAGACTGCCAAACCCTCAGTCGATGTAGCAGCACTCCGTTGCGAGTCAGGCTATTTGTCAGTCGATGTTGCAGCACTCCGTTGCGAGTCAGGCTATAAGATAGTCGATGATGCAATACTCTGCGCATGTTTTACAGTTAAAAAAATAAAAATTTCATTTTAAATAAAGCTTTAAAATAGAATATTAGGAATTGGAGAGTTATTTATAATTATTATTTTTACCGACAACCGAGAAATAGCGCATAACCTTACATTTTGATGTAAAATGAAGTATTTTATAAAACCATTTAAGATAAATAAATATAACTATTTTATTGATAATTTTTATGTAAAAAAAATTTTCTTTTTTTGGGGGGATATTTTTTTTTTTTTTTTTTTTTTAAGCAAAGAGTTTTTTCATATATTAAAATTTACAATGAAATAAATCGTGTTAATAAGAGAACTGAAGCAAGCAGAAGACATAAATTGTCTTATCATCAAGCCCCATCATAAAATTTACACTAAAAATCGTCAGTTAATATAAAAAATGAAGAGTAGCTAAGTACATAACAAGAATTTTAAATACGTTAGTTACAATATAACTAATAACATAATATAAATATTAGTGTTGAAATATAACGCATTATATCAAAGATTAACAATAATTTAAAAGTATTTAAATTTTTGAACAAAAAATTAAATTAGATTAAAATTGCAACAAAAGAGAAGTAGTGTCAATAACTATTTTTTTAGATAATTTATATTATTTGTGTATTATTTTTAAAAGAGATATTTTAAATCAAAATCTTTTTGTAATAAGAGATTCTTAGATTCTTTTCTAAATTTTTTCAAAGAGATGTAATGAACATTATTTTTTGTGATAAATTTTGAAAAATGTTTCCATAGAAACGGTCCGCGGTATTGGATTTTCTAAGAATTTAGTTTGAAATTAGTTTTAGGAACAATAAAGTTATTAATTGAATATTTAGTTGGATACTTGTGCGAGATTTCACTAATGTAAGACTCAAGTACATAGGAGAGAGTTCATGTTTAGTTTTAAACATAAATTGTAGAACTTATTGTATATTAAGTTTATAGACACTTAGGGCACCGAGCTTTCTTAAAAGAGGTTCACATTGAAAAGTTTTGTGGGCATCAGATATAATCCTGCATGCATGTTTTTGCTTACTATGAAGCTTTTTTAACTTACCATAGTTAGTACTACCCCATACAATATTGCAGTAAGAGATAAAACTATGAATAAATGAAAAGTATATTTTTTTTAAAGAAGAGGTGTTAAGATTTGATATTTTATTTTCTATACATTTTATATGTGATTTCCATGACAAATTTTCATCTATTATTACTCCTAGAAAATTAACGATTGGTTCCCTTTTAATAAATATTTTATTGATTAGGAGATTGGGTAATTTTAGTGGAACATCATCACCTTTACTAGGTTTGGAAAATAAAATAAATTTAGTTTTTTCTACATTTAACGAAAGCCTATTTCTTGTAAACCAATCGTTTATTTTGAATAGTTCTTCATTAAATATATTAAAGAGAGTTTTTATATCTTTGTTGGAATAAAAAAGGTTGGAGTCATCTGCAAATTTGATCTGTAAATCTGCACATTTAAATTATTTGATGCTAAGTATAAATCATTTATATTCAATAAAAATAATAATGGCCCTAAGATTGAACCTTGGGGCACATCACATGTAATATGTTTTTCTTTTTCTTTTTTATTATAAATAATATATTGTGACCTGTTTGCTAGGTAGTCTTCAAACCAAAGTAAATTTTTATTCTTTACTCCATATAGTTCTAGCTTTTTTATAAGTATCTTATGGTTAACAGTGTCAAAGGCTTTCGACAGATCAATAAAAACTCCAAGAGTAAAATAGTCATTATTGAATGTATCCGATACATGATTAAGTAGTTCGATTATAGCATGGTTTGTTGAATTATTAAAAATTTTGAAATCCAAATTGTTTACTGTACAGCAAACTGTTTAACATCAAATAGTTGTAAAGTCTGTTGTACATAATTCGTTCAAATAATTTTGAAAAGCAGGGTAAAACGGAAACAGGTCTGTAGCTGTTAATATTAGTTTCGTCACCAGATTTAAAAATGGGAGTGATTATGGCAATTTTAAGTTTTTTCGGCACAACACCTAGCTTTAATGAAAGATCAAAAATATGAAATAATGACGGTTTAATGATATCGAAAACTGACTTAACAACATTCACACTAATTTTGTCAATGCCCGCACTTTTATTACTTTTAAGACTGTTGAAAGCATTCCTTATTTTGCTTAGATTTAAATTAGATTCTTCCATAATAGAATTACATGATTTAATGTAAGATTCAAACTTTGTGGTACTTGACGGAATTTTACTCGCCAAGTTCGGCCCTACTTCGAGAAAAAATGAGTTCAGTTCTTTAGCTATTTTTTTTTTTATCGTCAATCATTTCCCCATCAATTAAAAGCTTTTGAGGGAGATTATTTTTTTCACTTTTTTTTTTTTACCAATTATTTGTTTAATTATATTCCACGTTTTTTTAGTGTCGCCGTTAGTTTTTTCCAACAACTTTGTATAATAAATTTTTGTTGAGTGTTTTTTGTTTTTTTCAAATAAGTTTTTATAGTTTTTGTAGTTTATTTTATTTTTATATGTTTTATGTCTTAAATATTTATCATAAAGTTTTTTATATTTTTTTTATGATTTTATTAATTCCTTGGTCATCCAGGGGTTTAAAAGAGACTTAGCATTTCCTGTTAAAAAAATTGTTATAAAATCCATGTCATACTGTTTACAGAACTGCGCTAAAAATAGCTCATATGTAGTATTGACTTCATGGGATTGTAAAATAACATTCAAATCGATATTTTTTGTTAAAAGAGTTCGAAAATACAATACGGAGTTTTCATTGATCTGTCGTGTTAAGATTGTAGTGTTTGAAGGGACATTTTTTAGGGTTATGTTATCAGTAATTAAGAATATTGGAAAGTGATCAGTTAAATCAGTTTTAATTATGCCCGTTCCTAAACGGCAGTTTTGAAAATTGTTAGTAATTATATTAGTGTTAGTAATTATTATAGTAGTGACGATGAGGTCTTAGTTATTCTCGTTGACTTATTTATTGTTGGTATTAGGTTATATTCTATAAGAGTATCTAGAAAATGTTGAACATTTGTATTTGAAGCATAATTTAGTAAATTTAAGTTAAAATCACCAGCTAAGTAAACATGTTTCCGTGTTATGCTACATTTCCCGGGGGGATTTTTTCTCAGGGGGGATTTTTTCTCGGGGGATTATTTCGGGGGGATTTTTTCCCGGGGATTTTTTCCTGCTACCCTGTAAGTAATGTCTTTTTTATCAAGTTTTTTTAAAAAATCAAAATAGTCCTAAGTAAACCCCAAGTTAGATATTTTAACTCCTCGGTTTTTTTGTTTCAAAACAAAATAATCGCGGGAGTTAAAATATTTTAAAATAAAATAAAAATTGTTAACCGGAGGCTTAAAATTCTCAAATTCCAAGCATAATAAATTAACTCCAATTTTATAAGTGTTAGTTCATCTGTAAAAAAAAAACAAAAAAAAACAAACTGTTTGGTCTTGTGGACGAAAATTTTTTTTTTTTTTAAAGTTTCTTTTTTTTTCTATTATTTTAGTTTCTCAAATTATTTTCTTGTTTTTTTTTCTTCATTTCTTTTATGCTTCGTTTAATCGATTGAGTTATTTAGGGAGACGCACAGTAAGTGCATATCGTTAGAACAATTTATTTTGGTGTGAGCACTGCATGGTTTACATAAACCTACATTACAGCCATAAAAATCCAATCGATTGAATTATTTAGGGAAACGCACAGTAAGTGCATATCGTTAGAACAATTTATTTTGGTGTGAGCACTCCATGGTATACATAAACCTACATTACAGCCATAAAAATCCAATCGATTGAATTATTTAGGGAGATGCACAGTAAGTGCATATCATTAGAACGATTTATTTTAGTGTGAGTACTGCATGGTAAACATAAAGCTACAGTTACAGCCATAAAAATCCAACATCTAAATATTTATAGTAAAAAAATGTAGTTTTTTTACTATTCGCATATAAATGCGTAGATAATTTAGTAAAAAAAAGCAAACTAAAAAAACGTTTTAAATCATAAAAATGAGAAGCACAAACATAAAAAAATAAAGAAGTCGCAGTATAGTACACTTTTTAGTACTTTATAAAGGCTCATCAAATTTTAAAACTTATACGTATTTACTTTTCGTAGAAACCTTTACTTTTCGTAGAAAGAGTCAACAGACTCACTATGGGTGTTATTTTGTTACAACACGCTTTTAGGTTTGACTCTGTTTTGAAACTTTTGCTTTCAATTTTACCCAATAGTTTTTGATGGGGTTTTTAAGATTTTTAAATAGAATAAAAAACTCAGCCATGTGACAAGAGCATTTATAACATTTTCTTGGAGTAATGTCTTGAAGTTTTTCTTCTGATGACAAGTTACCCAAGTTACCTTAGGAAATTTGTCTTATGACACTATGAAACTTATGACACGTCGCCACATTTAAAGTCCGATCCTTGTATTTTTTGTAAAATTTGACTATTTTTTTGGAGAAAAACAAGATTTCAATTCAGCACAGTACTACAGTGTTATTAAGTTATCAAGATTTTTGATAACTTAATAACACTCTTATACATTGTTATGAAGACTTTGGCAGGGCATCTTCGAACTGTGCGGACACTAACATTTATTCTAGAAGACAGCTGAGTAAAAATATATTAGCTTAAAATCTATATGTCCTTCACAGCTAAATGACGATTTTTCTGGATTGACGATCTGTTGACAAGATGCGCTGAATGATTTCATGAACTTAGGCATCGGAAAAAGCGCAGCAATCATTTTTTAGACTTTCAGTCTTCCATTAAAATTTGTAATTGTGTACGTATAAAAGACGGTAGCTATACTCTAAGTTTAAATAATAATGTTTAAATTAAACATGAGCTTTATATATATGGTTGATAACTGCCCAATCACTTACGTAACGCGTGATTGTTTTAGTTGGTTGCCAGCACGCATATTTTACATTTATATGTAAATATCTATAATAATCATGAGTGGTATGATCTTTTAGCCATAACTGTGTTTGTGATAAGCCCTTTCAAAAGTTCATCAAATTAATTTTTAACGTTCATCGTTCATTAATTTTCAACGATTCATTGTTAAATACGCATGCGTAAAATAAATTTGTAAACATCCTCTTAAACAAAAAATATTTTTGAAAAAGAAATGATTCAAGAAATTATGTATCAACCTTAAAATTTTGGTTCGTAAAAATGATAGCCTCTATTTTAAAACGGTGTTTAGTTCAAAGATGTTCTTTAATCATTGTAGCACCAAAAAGAAATTTTTGTATGAACAACCACATAGTTTATAACGATGTCATATCGAAATTAAACTTGTCAAAAGCATCAAGTAAAGAACATAAGGTTGGAGTTGTATTTGATATAGACGGAGTCCTTGTTCGTGGAAGTAAAATAATTCCATGTGCAAAAGCTGCTATTAATAAACTGAACAAGTTTAATGTTCCTTTAATATACTTAACTAATGGTGGTTGCGAAACAGAAGATCAGAAAGCTCGTTCGTTAAGTCAACAGCTTGGTATTGAGGTATTATAAAATTTTTTATTTCTGAAAGATAAAGATTGTAACCTTTCTAAAATGCAAGCATAGTTTTAAATGTTGTTTTTATATTTTTTGAGGAAAAAGTCCTAAATAAGATATTCTAATTAGAGGAAGTTCAAAAAAAATTTAATGTAAATTAAAGGTTAATAGATTAATGAAAATTATATTAATTTATTATAAAAAATAGTTCAATATTTTTCGAAAATGTACAGCATAAATTATGACGTTCGAGTTTATATACTTTTATAAATACTTATCTATTTTATTTATTGATCTAAAGTTTTGAGAAAGAAATTTACAGCTGAAAAATATACAAGAGTTTTAGTAGGATAAAAAGGATGAGAGTTAATATGGCTTTTATTAGTTGCACATTACTACCCAATATATATGTCCTGAAAAATACATGGTTATTTTATGTTTAAAAAAAGTGGTAAAATTATTAAATAATTTTTATATTATGTATAGATTGGTTACAACCTGTAACTCATAAAAAATTGTTTTATTTTTTAACTTGTTTACTTAAAGAAGTCCACACTTATTGTATAAAAGTTATGGGTTCAGTAAGTTTAGATTTAAATCGAATCTGATTAAATGGTCTACTTAATGAGTTCTGCAGGACAGCTCCATAATAACAGCTTTGTCAATGGAATTATGTTTGTTCAACTCAAATAGTTTTTTTCTTAACAAAAAAATTATTTGAGCTAAAAAACATAATTAGTTGCCTAATATATAAAATAAATAGTATTGATTCCAGTACTAAGACTTTCTAGATATCAGTATCTAATTTAGTATAGTATCATCTTATATGATTCTTTTAAATCCATTTTATCAAACAATTATCTATCCCATATTTGTTTAGTTTCAGACAACCTTTAAATTTTTTTTTGTTAAAAGCAAAATCTAAGCAAATATTATTAATCGGTATCCTTAGATTTAAATAGTTTATAAGAAAATTATTAGTTTCCAACAAGTTAGTTGTATAACATTTTAAGGGATCTTAAGGGTCATATGATCTTGAAGTTCTCAAGTTAAAGCATTAATCTTACTTAAAAATCATTATTTTCAACAAAATCCTTAACTTGAAGATCTCTGAGTCTGAAATTCATAAACAGACTTTCCGTAACTATCTCATCAGTTTAGGGATCAAAATAAATATTTCAATTGTTCGCAAACAACTTTAGTTCAAATTTTTGTGTTACTTATAAGTTACAGGAGTAATATAAATATTGAAGTGAAATTGAAAGCTGCAAGTGCCTGCCAAGTACTGTAAGTGCCTATTAAAGATGTTTGATTACTAGGATGAATAGTAAAAATAAAATACTAATTCTTACAGTTTTATTTTGGCAGAAACATTGCAAACTAAACATTGCAAGTGTCTTAAGTAGATAATAGTCCAACTTTTACCATCTCAGGTAATCCTCAGGTAATAAATAATAAACAGGTAATTTACCAAAACTTGTAACTAAGTTGCAACAAGTACTTTTTAAGCAGAATTTGGTTCGTGTTTTAGAGTAATATATGAAGTGCAGTTTTACAATTGGAGAGAATATTTGTCTTAAAAAAATCTATTTTTTTTATCAAATGTAGCTTTTAAAATGCATAATCTCTAACTTTATAAAATGATATATTATATCTACATATACAACAAGTCATCAATGAAGAAACATATTAAATCACCTTTTAGAACATTATTAACTTTGTAATATACTAATGGTTGCAAGATTGTTTGTATTTTTTTAAAGAAATTCATTTACAACAAGATTGCAAGTCACCACTAATTATGTTGGGAGTTAACAGAAAATAAAAAAAGGGAGTTGAAAGGTAAGAAAGAAGTTGACAGAAGTCAAAACTATAAATTGTTTGTTAGGTCAAAAAATGGAATGTTGTCCATTGTAGGAAAGTTAAGGTAAGAAATATCTTTAGTAATATAGCAGGAATGGTTTAGATGTGTAACTGTGTTAATTAACTTTTTTCTTTCGGATAACAAGAATTATTTTGTTGCTGTTAGTGTTTAATATTTTTGGTGCTTCAGCCATGTTTTAAATTAATATAGAACTTGATTCAATTATAATGTATGCAATAAGCTATGCAGATGCTTCATTGCTTCTAATCAACCCAAAGTTTACCGCTAAAGTTTTTGCTTAGGCCTTCTACAAGACAATTGTCTGATGCAGTTAGCATCTTTCTAAAATGGTTACTGTAATTAAGACACCATCACTAGCTTTTAATTTTAACAAGAGCTCCAAAGCAACCTAGGGTGTATTTTATATCAGCTATCTTTTAATGTTATCTACAAAAGTGAATTCTATAATGCAGTAGGATATGAGGATAATCATGGTGATTCTAATTCTGATTTGATCTGTTACTTATTTTATTGCAGTCAATACTTTATTTTTTTTCTTGATGTAGCATCCTTTGTGATGCAACATTCTCTTTGATGCAGTATGCTCTGTGATGCTTCAAATAAAAATGTTAAATATTATACACTTCTTGATAACATACTAAGATTTTATACATGTATAATCAAGACTAATTTGTTGGACCATTTTTCTAGTTTTTTTATAACATATATTTTATGAGTTTTCTTCTAAGAAAACTATATAATCTATAAATAGTAATAAGGAGACTGATAAATTTAAACTTCATATTAAAATTTTGATATCTTTTAAATAATAACGTTGATTGGGATTTTGCAATTATATAGGGTAGATAATGCATAAAATCAATTTTTGAACAATTTTTATAAATGAATTGAAAAATTATTTCTTGAGAAAAAATTTGGTATAAACTCCAAATTTGCTTCAAACTCCCTAATGGTTTCTAAAGGCTTATTAACTTTTCAAAATCTAAAAAATTTTATAATAAATTTATAAAGAAAAAAAACTTAAACAATAAAAAAGAAGCTATAAAAATTTATTTAGAAAAACTAAAAATTGCTCAAAAAGTATTTTTCGAGTGTTTTTATGTTTAAAACAAAACAAAGCTAGCAGTATGTATATGAAATTACAAATTAAGCTATAAATATAAGATGCAAGATATTTCAACAATAATTGTTGTTGTTTCAAAATAAAACTTAAAACTAAACTACTCATTGTAAATTCATAAACTTTTCATAAACAATTTAGTATTGTAGGCTGTATTTATGAAAAAATGTATGGATAAGGTTTTGGTAATATTAAAAACAAAGAAAATGCATATATTTGTATCAAAGGAATGAAAAAATATTGAAGATCTAAAATTTAATTTTTTTTTCATAAATAGTTCAAAAATAAATCATTTATAAACACACTTTGTATACCAAAAATCATTGAAATTTGCAAAGGCTTAGGGTCAAAAATATTTATTGGTTTGATTTGAAATTAAAAAGAAAGTAAAAAGAAATTCATAATATATATATTTATAATGGTAAAGAAAGCAAAGCTTTTAAAAAAACTATAAAGGTCTATCTGGTTACTGGTGTAACAAAAACCTGAAGTGATGTGTTGTTTAAGCACATTTAAATCCACAGCCTCCCTGGTATTGCCTAACTTGTTTCTGCATTTAACAGCTTTGTTTTTTGAGGTTTGCGATTGTGAGTTAATTTTGAAAGAAACACATGTAGTCTGCTTCATAATAATAGTTTTAAGAAGGTTGTAAGTAGTTTAAAAAAAATACTTGCAAAGTATGTTGTTATGCTTTTAAAAATAAGTTTTTTTTATTTTGTTATCATGTCATTAACACTCAGTTTTCAATTTGTCTTGATTAACACTAATTGGTCTTGATATACACTAATTTTTCTTACAGGTAGGTTCTCATCAAGTGGTACTTTCTCATTCTCCATTACGAATTTTATGCCATCTTCACGATAAACATGTGGCAGTGTGTGGTCAAGGAAATGTGGCTGATATTGCTAAAATGTATTTTTGATATTTATATTTTTTTTATTAAGCTATTAGATGATTAATGAAAAATAAAAAAAATAATATATTAATAAATATTTAATAAAAATTAGTAATTGCAATATTTGTTGTTGTTTTGTTGTTGACATTTTTTGTATTAATTACAAGTGAAATATTTCTAAAGTTTAATTGGAAAGTGATGGTGAGCATTTAAAATAAAAAGTCAGTAAAATTATCAAACAATGTACAAAAGCATTATGAGTCAAAAATTATCAGACTATCCACAAAGCATTATGAGTCAAAAACTATAAAGCAATCCACAAAAGCATTATGACTCATAAACTTATGCACAGTTTTTGACTAATGCAGAGATAGAGGAACTTGTGAAACAATCATCTGCCCCTTATGCTTACCAAGTTGATACTGTTATTTTAATTGCTGCAATTAATTTAAGTTCTTTATAACTTTTTATTGTTTTAATATTTGCTTTGATGGTTCTGATAGAATATAAATGAAAAAGTTTAAATAATCCGGTTCAAGCTGTTCTATTATATGTTTTATTTCTAAAAATAAAACAAAATCAATATTTATTTCTAAAAATAAGACAAAACCAATATTCCATTCAGTTCATCAAAAAACTCAGTCACCATAAGATTTAGCTACAAAGTTTAAATGCAGTAGATCATTCGTTCAAAGAGTATTCAAAAAGAAAAGTGTGAAAGCATATTACAAGAAAAAAAATACCAAAAATGGTTGCTTGATAGAGAAATCAAGGCAATTGGACAAGCTAAAAACATGCTTAAATTAATTATGAAAATTTTTTATGTATTTTAGAAGACAATGATACTTAATTTAAAAAATATCACTTGATGCTTCCAGGTAGTCAATACTATTATCAGTCAAATGTTATCAGTCAAAGCTTCAGAAAAATGTTATAAAGCTTCGGAACAATTTAAGTTCATTCAAGTAGAAAATTTTCATTTCCAAGTTATATAGCAGTTTTTTAACAGAATTGGTTTTAAAAGCTCTCTGCATAACAAATTAATCTTTTACAACTGTGAACCGCAAACTGGTAAAATGCGAACTTTTTTGCAAACCATCGTCCTATTGGTTGTTAATGATGTAATGTTTTATTTCTGTTAAATAGCTCATTTAGCGGCATGTTTTAAGGACTTTTAAGCGAAAAAATTATTTAAAAAAAATAAAAGGAAATTAAGAGAAACTAGACAAATACATTTTTTTTTTAATTATTTGATAGACTGCCTACCCAAACCAAACCCTTAGTCGATTTAGGAGCACTCCGTTGTGAGTCAGGCTATAAGATAGTCAATGTAGCAACACTTCGCACATGTTTTACAGTTAAAAAATAAAAATTTTAATTAAATAAGGTTTTAAAATAGATAATTAAGAATTGGAGAGTTTTTTTATTATTATTTTTATCATAATAATAATGGTCTTAAAAATATAATGTTTTGGTTCGCAAAAAAGTTCGCATTTTACCGGTTCGCAGTTCGCGGTTTGCAGTTCTCATTTTACCGACAACCTCACTATTCCAAAGAAGTAATGCAGTGGTATAAGAAAAATAGTCAGTTTTGTTCCAAAGAATGCTCATCCACCAAACTGTCCTTAGAAGCGAGTTATCAAATCTTACTAGGCAATTGTAGGGGGATTATTGAGAGAAGGAAGCAAATGTGCAAGTAGTGTTAAAAATTTTTGAGATTTATGGATTAATGCTACAGAAGTGATGCAAAGTAAAATTGTGGAGGTGATGGGGGGTACTTTACAAAAAATTAAATTACTTGCACATTGTTAAGTTAAGGCCTAATTTGTTTTTGTTGAAATAAAAACTAATTATGTAAGAATCACTATAGAAAAAAAAATCATTACACTTGTGGTTAAGTGGTTTTTGAGAAAACTCAATTTAAAATCATCAAAACGGATTTTGAGAAAACTCAATTTAAAATTGATCATTGTGTTATATACACATAGGTGTTTTTTGTAAAGAGTTTTTAATTTGTCAATTTTCCCTCTTTTTAAAAAAACTGTTTGTAAAAATTTTAAAAATTATCTGCAAAATTTAAAAAAATCAACCTTAAAATTTCTGACATTTCAAGAACTTTTAGCAGACTTTTTAACTTAAACAGAGAATATATAAACTTTAAATGCAGAAATTAAACTTTAAAAGTTGAGAAAAGATTTAAGAACTTTAAAGACATCAATCAGAAAAGACCAAAAAAGAGAAACCTGAGTGCACCTATTTATATCATTCTGGAGTCCAGCCTTTAAGCTATTTTGCTTCACAATGACTACAATCCATCCATTCCGAAGGCTCACCCTGTGTATTTTAAAAGAACAATGTGCTAAGGATATCATCTGTACATAAATTAGATAAGATCTACAAGCTGATACCAAGATACATTTGATTTTAGAAAATCATATTATATCTTATTAATTAAGCATTTTTGTTCTGTTTAATGATGATGCCATTGATATAGCATATATCATATACCATATACTAATGCTACTTTTTTTTAAAAAAGATTTTATAATGTATTTGTTGATAAAGTTTGGGTACTTTAGACTAATGCAGCTCAGAGTGTTTTTCTGCAAATTCTAATGAGTGTCTTTGGTCAGTGTGAATTTCTTGTTTTTCTGAAACCACTGGCATATTATACTTGAGTTTAAGCATGTAATAAAGGTATCTTGCGTAAATTTAAAAAAGCTTGTGTGAGTTTAGCTTGTGTTTATTGTTTATCTATTGCTTACTGATACTGCACAATTGTATTGTATTCTGGTTTTCTGAGAATTTTAATTAATCTGATTGTAATTTCAAAAGCTCATCAGATATGTTTTCATATATCAGATATGTTTTCATATATCAGATATGTTTTCATATATCAGATATGTTTTCATATATCAGATATGTTTTCATATATCAGATATGTTTTCATATATCAGATATGTTTTCATATATCAGATATGTTTTCATATATCAGATATGTTTTCATATATCAGATATGTTTTCATATATCAGATATGTTTTCATATATCAGATATGTTTTCATATATCAGATATGTTTTCATATATCAGATATGTTTTCATATATCAGATATGTTTTCATATATCAGATATGTTTTCATATATCAGATATGTTTTCATACAGTCTGTGTTATTATATGAAGTTTATTAACATTCTTAGCATTTGCTTTTAAAAATCTTAAAGGGCAAAAAAAAAAACATGTGAACATAACCTTCAAACTGATCCAAACTGATAACAGATGCTTACCCCAATTATAAACTACCTTGTAGAACATTTTCAGTCAAAACTTAGTTCATACCATTTACACTGAACTGTTCAAAAGAAATAAAAATAAAACTCTCAGTTGTAAACTATTTGTCATTGACAACATTTGGATTCCTGATACCACAAAATTTGCATTCTTATTTATTACTAGAAATTTGATTAATCAAACTCAATTTACTTAAGAAAAAGTTGTTCTTTGAGTCATTGATTTTCCCGATTGACACAGATGTTCATATTTGTAAGTACTTACAGAAAGGTTTAAAGTCATTTGAAATTCCTTTAAACAAAGGGATTTCATCTTATTAGCAACCATTAGCATGTACAAACTTAAAATCAATGTAGCAGAAATTAAATATTGTACCTTGCTCAGTGAAAAAGGATTGGCTAATTTGCTTTGATTAAGTTCCAACTTGTTGGAACAGTTTATTTAAAATGTTATAAATGTTGTTGTTTTCTATAAAAAGTTCATTTGGCGGCTTATAAAACAGAACGGAACAATATATTTACAAATTAAAAATAGGGATTTGTTTAAAAAACTTGTATAGAGCCCCATTTAAAATTTTTATAAAAAGCTATGGCAGAAGAAAAGAAACTTGCGCAATATGGGTGAATTATGCATAAATTATGCATTTTTGTATTAAAAAAACCTTTAAAATTTCAAAATTTAAAAGCATTAAAATTTCTTCAACATGAAAATTTTCATATTTTATGACAATGGTTGATGAACTAGAAAAATCTGTTACTAAAAATCTTGATAACTTTTTGCTTGATGAAATATTGGATATATTGTTCTTTTTCTTTTCTTAAAGATCTATCATCTATAATTCAAACTTTTTCAGCAGTTATTTTTTGTTGTTGACAAAGTGTTTTATTTTTTGTTTTCATTTTGGTTAAATGACATTATTTTATTGATCATAAACTTTATTTTAACAGGTGTGGATTTTCTAAAGTATCTCATATTGATGATATATGTAATCATTTTCCAGAGCTTGATGTCAATGATCGATCTAAAAGACATAGCTTGGTATAACTTTTGATTCAAAATAAAATATTTATGATTTTCTGTGTGTACTGTACTGATATATTTTGCTCACTTTGATTTTTAAAATCCTGGCTTTGTCTAAGAAAGAGTCAGGAGTAAAGTAGAAAAAGAAGAAAAATAACAAAAAACTATGTATCATACTAAAATAGTCACTTAATAAGGTTTTAGAGCATCAACTAAGGGTTTGGGTACAACCTACATATTAAGGACATTAAAGAATTTTTTTTTAGATAAAGTTGTTACTTGATATATTTCATATTTAATAATTAGTTAAATATTTTTACCTTCAGAAGCCTTTCAAAAACTCATCAATAATGCTTTTTTTATCATAATAAAAGTTTTATTTTTTTCAACAGGAAATGCTGAATAAACATAAACATTAGTAACTGTTGTTATTGATTTGTTATGACTTTTACAGAAAAATGCCAATTAATAGTGTCATATTTTTAGTTGTGGAGATGTTTTTCATAAAATATAATTTTTTATTTATTTTTGAACCCTAGAAGTACCAAAAGTTAGAAAAAAATCAATGTGCACATAATACCAATCGTATTATGTGTCCTTTAACAATTGCTTTAACAAATGTGGCTGTAAAATGTAAATGTAGATTTTCCAGTTCTACCACTGGAAATACCCATTATGTTAAATTTTTATTTTCCAGTGTTAAATTATGTTTTTTGTATTTTCCAATGTTAAATTATAAAAATATCCATTATGTTAAATTTTTATTTTCCAGTGTTAAAATTTTAATTGTCCAATTGTTAAATTATTTATTTTCCAGTGTCAACTGTCTAGATATAAAATGTCAGTCAGACATTTTAGCTGTAGGAAAAAAATATAAATTTTTTGGTGAATTTTACAAAGTAATGAAAAATTCATTTGTTTTTTTTATATTAAATATATAAGATATATACAGGGTGTATACTTAATTTCTGACCCCCTATAATATTCTTAATCTCGGTTTAAGAATACGGTATTTCAACACATACCATTTTATTACTGTCATATCAATTTAATTAGACAAAGAATTTATGTTAATAGTCAGTAATCAGTATTTTGTCCATTTCTTTCTATGCATTGGGTAATTCTACTTGGCAGGCTTTCTACTAGGCGAAAACACTCTTCTTGCGTAATGGCAGCCCACTCCTGTTCAACACGTCTGATCAACTGTTCACGATTACGAGGTTGAGGATTGTGTAAAACACTGTCCTGGAGTCTTGACCAAATATGTTTGATGACATTTAAGTCGGGCAAGTTGCATTCATTGCTGCTCTTGCCGTGTGGCAAGTTGCTCCATCTTGCATCAGAATAACTTTATTTCTCACAGGAAAGATGGTCTTATCATCAGCTGCACGTTTGTACACAGGTAGAATAATATCACGGTAAGAATAATATCACGCATTTATAAGAGCAACTCAAAATCTTCTTTTTGTAACATGTGGGGGGTCAGAAATTAAGTATACAACCTGTATTTGTTATATTATGTTATATATATTTTATATATATATGCATATAAATATACATATGTAAAAAAAAGTAAAGCAGCCGTGGTGCAGTGGTAGTACACTTGCAAAATAAAAAAAAATATATATATAAAAAAATATATATATATATTTATATATATATATATATATATATATATATATTATATATATATATATATATATATTTATATATATATATATATATATATATATAATATATATATATATATATATATATATATATATATATATATATATATATATATATATATATATATATATATATATATATATATATATCTGATCTAAAAAATGTATATATATATATATTTATATATATATATATATATATAATATATATATATATATATATATATATATATATATATATATATATATATATATATCTGATCATCAATATGAATTTTGATCTTTTTGTTTTACAGCTTCATTTGATAACAGTAATAACTTAATTTAACTAGATTTTTAATAATTTTATTGTGCATTAGATAGAGGCGGAGAGGTTAAGGCTATCTCTCTTCACTTTTTTGAAGCTTTTGATAAAGTTTGGCATGCTGGTTTTCTCCATAAGCTTTTTTCTCATGGTGTAACAAGTAACATCTTTAAGATTATGAGTCCTTCCTTTCTAATCGTAGTATTAAAGTTGTCCTCAGTGACCAGCATATCTTGTAATTTCAGGGGTTCCTCAAGTATCTATCCTTGGCCCTATACTCTTTTTAATTTACATTAACACTCTTCCGGATATTCTCATATCACAAGGTGGCATTGTTCACTGATGATACTACCATTTATAATTGTCTTGATAAAAAGCCAACACTCTCGTATTGCTTGGAGAGGGCATTTGAGATTGAAAAGTATCTCACTTCTGCTACAGCATGCAGTGGCGTGCTGGCCCCACAGGCTATGCGGGAATCCCGCTTGGGCCTATTACTATTTATCCTAGAAAGGCCTTTTTTTTTAATTTTTATACTCTTTACTACATGAAATTTTTTTGCTTTACTTTTTATTCCACAAGTTAGATTCTTTAACAAATTTCTGATTTGAACTGTTGGGTTTTTGCGTCAAAACAAAGTCAATATTGGAAAAAATAATTAATCATTACATCACTTAAATGGCTTATTATATCAGTTGCTATATAGATAAAATTATTTAAGTTAGCCAATGATTATTATAAGAAATAATTGTGTTCAATTTTAAATTATGGAAGAATGTTCATATTGATAAAATTTTTATTAATTTAGAATGAATAATTGTTTTTTCATAAGCAAAAATCATTACGTTTCTAAATATAAATAATTTAGTGAGTTTTTATAAAAATGCTTTTTGCAATGAAAAAATATTAACTAATTTGAAGAAAAAGGTTTCTTTCAAAAACTTTGTTTATATAACATAAAATAAAATAACTCTAGTATATGTAATAATGCTAAAACAAAAATATATAATGAATATATACATGCAAACATACATATATATATATATATATATATATATATATATATATATATATATATATATATATATATATATATATATATATATATATATATATATATATATATATATATATATATATATATATATATTATATATATATATATATATATATATATATATATATATATATATATTATATATATATATATATATATATATATATATTTATATATATATATATATATATATATATATATATATATATATATATATATATATATATATATATTATATATATATATATATATATATATATATATATATATATATATATATATATATATATATATATATATATATATATATATATTCATATATATTTAAATATATATACAAATGTGGGTCTTAAATTAAACATATTTGGCAAAATCCCACATACATGGGCCTTTTTAAAAAAAATCCCGCATTTGCTTTTTGGAGCCAGAGCGCCTCTGACAGCATGGGACTCACAGTGGCTGGTGAACTTTAATTCAGATAAAACCCAATTTTTTTTTCAGCTAATTGTTATCACAATAATTTAAATCTTCCTTTATTTATGAACAGTAATGTTTATCGATGAGTCATCTGCCATTCATATTATAGGACTACCTTTTACTTTTATGATTAACTCTTACTTTCTTGGAAACCATATATCAAATCCATTGCAAAATTAGCATCTACTAAGGTTGCATCTTTTTATCGTGCTTGCCACTTTCTTACTCTGGATTCTATTTTTTATCTCCTTAAATTTCAAATCTGTCCTTGTGTGAAATACTGTTACCATATCTAGGGTAAATCTTCTAATGATGCCCTTTCTCTTTAAAACAAGGTGAAAAAACACATTGTAAACATAGGTGGACCTGCTTTTGCAGCCAACCTCCAAACATTATCAATTGTCGTAAAGTTGCTTTTCTTCCTTATTTCTACAAATACTCTATTGGGCGCTGCTCTAAAGAGCCAGCGTCTCTTGTGCCATCTACTAAAATTCATTCTCATGCTACTCCTCATTCAATTAAACCTCATCCTTTTACTGTGACTGTTCCTAAGTGCTCCAAAAACTCTTATTCTTATTTGTTTTTTTCTTAAAGCATCAGGTCTTTGGAATTCGCTACCCCCTCATTTTGTATTCCTGATTCATATAATTTGCAATCTTTTAAGTTATCTGTCAATCGTTGTCTTGCTTTATAAACTTGATCTTTTTTCTTCCAGTAATTTACAATTCTAATAGTGGTTGCTTGCAGCCTTGTTGAAAGCAAAGTTGTTGAAAAATATATATATATATATATATATATATATATATATATATATATATATATATATATATATATATATATATATATATACTTATTTATTTATTTATATATACATATATAAACATTTATGGTCAAAAAGATTTGACCACCTATTATTTCTAACAAAAAAAGTTTTTGTAGAATTACAATACTTGGACATTATTTAATGACAACACACTTTTTTTATGGTGTTTTTATTAACTAGTCAGATTAGGTTCCTTTTAAAAACTTATGCTTTCAATTTTACTTAACAATTTTTAATAGGTTTTGAATTAAGTGAATTGTATGGCTACAGGGCAAGAATATTAGTTGCATTTATTATTGTTGTGGCTCGACAATTTTTGATGGCAAGTTGTCTTGTAGTCTATAAATATATCTAAGTTTTTAATTTGAAACCAATTAGACACATTGTTTTTTCAAAATTTTTAAATAGTTTGCGGAATCGTTTCATCCTTTTATAAAAGGTTTGTAAAAGGCATATCCCAAAATAATTTATTTTATATAATTCTCATAATGAATTCTTTATTTTCTTTTTTTTTAATTAAACTAAACTTACAAATGAAATATGTATAATTATAAATATGTACAAATATTTTTTTAGCCTAAACCTTCATCACAATTGTTTTCTCCACCAGAAGGTTAGTTTTTTTTTTTTAAGCAAAAGTTTTTACTTTTTTAATTATTGCATGTAACATATGTCAGATATAAATGAGTATAAAGAATGATTTTGTTCTATGCATTCCTAAAATAAACAAAAAAAATACTTTATGATATAAAAATATATGAATGAATACTGTATAATACATATATATAATTGTGTTTTTTTTTATGTTCTGTTAGTATTCATATTTGTTTTAGCAATACTATTAATGGGAGAACCTATAAACTGGGAACGCAGTCTTCAAATTTTGCTAGATCTTCTTCTTACAAGTGGTCAACCTAAAAAGTTGTACTCAAGCAAAGGCTATTTACCTATAGTTGCAATTAACACAGATTTCTTATGGATGAGCGAGGCAACTAACCCTAGGTATTTAAATAAATTCTATAAAAACTTCACTTAAGTCTGAATATTTAAGTCCGAATAAAATGCAAAGCCTTATAAAAAATCATATGACTTTAGTTTATATTTAGTAAATATATTTAAAAGACCCAAATTTTGCGTCCATAGAAATAATCTTGGTACCTAATGTTACTATCATAATGCCAGGAAAATATTTGCAACTCAACTTTAAAACTAATAAATGCCTTAGTAATGTTTTCCTGTATTTCATATCTAAAGCAAAGCGTACTGATGTTCTTTATAAATTAACGGTTATTTTAAAATCAAATACTAAAAAGAGATTTTAACTTTAATATCATATTCTTATATATGAATTATGAATGTATCGATCTATAATACTGTATAAGTAATTTTTATTTCTGTTGCCTTTAGCTAAAAAGTGTGTTTTCAAAACCCATTTTGCCAAAAACAAATAGAAAATAGTTCCTGTTCTGTGATCATTACAACATTAAATTAAAATTTGCGTGTTTATATATATATATATATATATATATATATATATATATATATATATATATATATATATATATATATATATATATATATATATATATATATATATATATATATATATATATATATATATATATATATATTTATATATATATATATATATATATATATAAAGCTGGCCAGATTTTTTAGTCCTTTTGAGAACATTTTAACAAGCAAAAAAAAAAAAAGCGCTAAAGATTAATTAGACCGATGAGAGACAATTACAAAAAAAAAAATTAGGCAAATAAAATAACTTTAAAGGCAAAAAAACTTAAAGCTAAATAAATTACGTTTAAAACAAATATTTTTGAAACATCACTTTAATAATTTTTTTTATAAAATTAAGCGATGTTTTTTATGTAAAGTATCATCTTACAATTGTTTAAAAAGGAAACAAATATTCTTTATTAAACAAAGTTTGCAAGTTTTAGTTTTATTTAAGCTAAATTATTTTATAAATAAAAAAGTTAATTCTTTTAATACCTATTTTATGTTTCGCGTAGTTTGAAAAGTTTAACATATTTGAAGCAATTCTTCTTAGTAAGATAAACAAATGAAATAATTAAATCATTGAATTACTATAGAAATTAAATTAACAAGATAGAAATCAACTAAAAAGGTTAAAAATATGACGAGGAAGCGAAACTGCTTCACAATTTCGCTGATGATGTTTAGTGAGTGGGCTTTTTAATTAGTAATTAAAGCAGAAAAAAGTGTAACAAGTTTTTAAGAATGGCAACTGAAGCGAAAATAATTAGAGTTAGTAAACCAATATCTAGAAATTTTTCTTTATTTGCTATATATATTAGTGTTCTGTCCTGACATCAGACGCGGTGCTTGTTCATCCGCGAGTTACTTTGTATGCGTTGTTTGTGTTTAGTAAACAGAAACTTCTTATATGTTTGTTACATGATTAGTTTTATTAACTTTAACGATTATAACTTTATTAAAAACGCAATTATTTTTGTAAGTCTTTGTTTAAATCATAAAAATTGCTTTAAAAGATACATTACGATAAAAAACAGATCAACAAAATTACATTTACATAAAGAATACATACTTTTTAAATAAAAAATAAGAATGTACTAATAAAATCTTTAATTTATAATAAACTTTTAAAATTTTGATAATTTAATTAATATATATTTAAAACAGTTATTTTTGTAAACAATTAATATATATTCTTAAAACGATTCATGCTAGAAATCTGAAAACGTAACAAATCGTGAATAATATAATTTCTAAAACATTTCAACAGAATGCTCTAAAACTTTATTTTGCTTTAGTCAGCGTATTTTTTGAACCAATAGAATTACTTTGTTAATTTGACGGGTTTTTAGTGTTCGCGAATATTCTTTTTATTCTTTCGCACCAAGATGTTTTGAGAATGTTCAAGTTTTTTATGTTTCCATGTATGTTCGTAAAACAAAAGTTTTTTGTTTCGTAAATAAACTTAAATGTTCTCAAAACAACTAAAAAACCTGGCCAGTTTTTCGCAACTAAATATAATTTCCGTGGTCAGTATTCGAAAGCGATCGCTCCCGCTTCCCGACCAAGCCTGATATATATATATATATGTGTATGTATATATATATATATATATATATATATATATATATATATATATATATATATATATATATATATATATATATATATATATATAAATGTGCATAAATATATATATATATATATATATATATATATATATATATATATATATATATATATATATATATATATATATATATAAATGTGCATAAATATATATATATATATATATATATATATATATATATACAGGGGCTATTATAGGGATTAAAATAGGGCAGCGGTACCCTCTCTTCCTGTCCTTAAGAAATATAGCGGAAATATTGTTGAATATTGCTGTTTTTTCACAAAAAAATAAAAGTATGTCGTTAAAACATTAAAAAAAAAAGTCCTTTATTTTTTATTTGAGCAGTGGCCAAATACGGTCAACGCTCTCAAAAACAACCTTATTGTTTGAAGCAAGCAAAACCATCTTTACAAAAGCATTATTCTTCATGAAACTGTCAAAACATCTTAACATAAATATTATTATTTATAAATCTGGCTGTGCTAGACATCCCAGAATCTCTGTTTGCTAAATTAAAAAAAAGATCGAGTCATACTCCACTGGTTTTTACTGTGTGAATGTTGAGCATTTTTCTAGAATATTCTAGAACAGCTAAAATTGTCTGGAAGTTCAAAGAATTTTCCAGAGTATTCAAGCTTTCAAGAAACTTCAAAGAAACTTATAGAATGATCTATGTCTAAAGTAGTCATACAAGTATAAAAGTACAGGGGACTGGAACCATCATTTCAGTTTGTGTTATGGATGAATAAAAGAAGGAATTGAATTTGAAGAGCAGTTAAGAGGTTGTCTGCATCTAGCAGATGCATTTTGCTACATGTGTGGGAGGTTTAGTAAAGACAAGATTGTAAAAGAATAGATAATTATAAAGAAAAGCAGGTCATAAAATGTGTGAGGCCTACAAGGCATTTTTTGATATTCCTGCCAGGGATCAGTCAAGTTCTAATTACTACATATTGGTGTACTATAGGAAAATATGGTAATAATATTATACCCTGTATTAAGTGATGTGTAAAATTTTCTGCCTTTATTTTATATGTACTACGTTACAAGTTTGTTCAGGGAAAAAAAGTTTTAAGTTTTTAAGTTTGATTTAGCTTTAGCAAGATTAAGTCTTTGTTGTTGTTCATGTGTTTGATTTGTTGCAATTGTTCATGGCTTCCTGGGTAATTACAATACTGAAAACTAATTAGAGTTGGATCAAATTCTCATGAAAAATTATGCTGAAATGGAATGGCGAATAAAACTCAAAGTTCATATTATATAAAGTGATTTACTGATTACACGCAACTCTTGAATATCAACTAATTTCTAAAGCTTTTTATGTGATTTTTACTGTATATTTTTTACAATATGTAATAGACAAAGACATTAAAGCACAGTAAATTAAACTAAGATATTTTTTGTTGTTGTTCTGTCTCACTAAATATGAACTTTCTTTGTGCTGTGTTGATAAAATTAAAGTTTCTGCACAATGTTAATTTTCCACAGTTTTAAGATGTAGCATATATTGATTTTGATGTAGAAAACACTTTGAATTTAGGGACAAATATTGTGTTACATAGTGTAATCATCATTATAAAACCATGCTGTTATAGCTTTTACATTTATTACTTTATTTTATAAATTTTTTTATTAAAAATATTCATTTATGTTTTTTATCTTTAATATATTTTATATATTGTTTTATTTTTATTATATATTTTACTATGTAATATGCATTTTATATTCCCTCCATTGGTTTCTCTGTCTTTTTCAAAATTAAGGAATTTTATCGCTTTAATGTTATCAATTATGAAATAAAAATTGCTCAGATTTCTACATGGTTTTATATTATCTATACTTCTATTTCACCATTAAAGTACATCCATATTCTTCAAAGTAGAAATACTTTTAAAATGCCTATAATTATTTTAGGAATCTATGCTTTAATATACATATATATAAAATATATATATTTTGTTTTTTAAAAAAGCTGTTGGGGTTAGAGTTAGAGTTTTGAAATTTAAGTGGGCAAAATATGTAAGATAATGCACATAAATGTGCTAAATTTAGTGTGTATATATATATGTTATTCACATAAAATGTTTATATGCATATATGTTTTCACATAAATATGTTAAATCAGTGTGCATATGCATTAGGGTGGTTCAGAATTAGGTAAAAATATTTTTTGGTCTAGAGTTGAAGCTTAGGCGCGCAAACCCTTGTTTTATATATGAGACTTTTTTTTTTAACTTTAAAAAAAGTTTAAGGGTGGCACATGGCCCCAAAGAACTTTTTTTTTATACCCTTTTTTGACATTTTTCAACCCCATATGTGCCACCCTTAAACAATAATTCAATTTTTTTTTCTATATAAACTCTCACAATGACTAATATAAAAATAAAATTAAGCACTCTAACTGTTTTTTCTCAACTTTGTGAAATTTATAGAAAAGTCAAAAAATAGACACAAAAAAAAAAGATTTTCCGTATTTCATGGATTGTGGCAACTTTTTTTGGTGATTAAGATAGATAACTTGCAGACATGAAGCAAACTTCAAACTTGAGTATGTTTATATTTAAATCAAATTAGGATGCTTTGAAAAAAATTAGAGTGATTGGAACCTAGGAACTATAAAACCTGTGCCCCCCAGCTCCAAAATGGTAAAACACTAAAATATTAAATGAAATTTGAAATCTGTCGATGAATATAAATTTAGTTTAGAATAACAATAGCATTAAACTCGATAACTTATTGTGTTCATATTGAGCCGGGATAGCTCAGTTGGTTAAAGCAGCGCTTTAACCAACTGAGCTCTTTGGGGCCAACTATATTTTATCACATATTTAGCAATCTTGGTTCATCTTTGATTGGACATGGAAAGGGTGATTTGCAGTGGCTTAAGTTCCCTTCACAGTTCTGGTAGTCTAATAATTTTTAATATATTTTTATCTTGAGTTTGAATCTACTATTAAATCCTATGATGTGGTCAATAACTTGTGCTTGGTAATAAGTTACCAAATTTTATTCAATTGTTATTTGAAACTAAATTTATATTCATCAACAGATTTCAAATTTCATCTAATAATATTTTATTGTTCAAAAGTTATGACAATGTAAAGTTTTTAACCCCCTCATTTTGGGGAGGTAGAAACTTTACATAGTCATAATTGTCAAATGCTAAAGTATTATTAGACAAAATTTGAAATCTGTTAATGAATACAAGTTCAGTTTAGAATAACAATAGTATAAACCTTGGTAACTTATTGTCCTTATATTTGGGGCGGAGAGCGCAAGTTTTGGGGTGTTTGTAATTCCCAGGCTCCAATCACTCTAATTTTTTTCAGAACATCCTAATTTGATACAAGTATAAACATACCTGAGTTTAAAGTTTGCTCCATGCCTGCAAGTTATCTATCTCAATCACCAAAAAAAGTTGCTGCAATCCATGAAATAGGGAAAACTTTTTTTTTTTGTCTACTTTTTGACTTTTCTATAAGTTTCACAGCATTGAGAAAAAGGAAAATGCAGTTAGAGGATTTAATTTTATTTTTATATTAGTCATTATGAGAGTTTATATATATAAAAAAAAATTAAATTCAATATTGTTTAAGGGTGGCACACATGAGGTCAAAAAATGTCAAAAAAGGGTAATAAAAAAAAAAAAAAGTACTTTAGGGCCGTGTGCCACCCTTAAACTTTTTTTAAAGTTAAAAAAAAAGTCTCATATATAAAGCAATGATTTGTGCACTTTATAAGCTTCCACTCTACTCCAAAAAAAATTTGACTTAAATCTGAACCACCCTAATATACATGTTATCTATAAATTTATTTAAATTTTTTTAGACTTGGGCATGGTGGTTTTCTTCTCTGTCTTGAAGCACTTTTTCTGGTCAGTTTGTGTTGTGTAAGATAGTTTGTTGTGTCAAAAAGTTATGAAAATAAGAATTTTTATTTATTTTATTAGAAATATTATGGAAAACCTCTTCAATACACTGCAGTTCTTGGTAAGCCAAATATCTTCACATATCGTTATACTGAAGGTATCATGTTAAATCTTGTAACGCATATGTTTGGAGATGGTGCAACAGTTAAGACCATTTATGGTGTTGGGTAAGTTGACTTTTTTCAAGATTTCTTGTATCAAGGTTACAGCTACAAATAAATAATAAGTGACTAATAAATAAAAAATAATAATGGTTTAATATTAAAAAAAAAAAATTATAAAAAATTATGTATAATATGAAAAGTTGAGGTATTTCAATAAGAGGAACTGTTATTGAAATTCTTTGAGGTATTTCAATAAGAGGAACTGTTATTGAAGTAAAAATAGATAAACAATAAAAAAAAAAGATTAAAAAACAATAACAAGAAAAAAGAAGAGTAAAGGTAAAGTCAAATTTCTTCCATATTCGAGTCAATATATATATAAAGAACCTCTTTGGACTGATTTTTCTTTCTGCTTAAATAAGTTGTAGTTTAACTCATTTAAAAAACAAATTTTATTGTTAAAGTGTTAAATTACAATGTAAATGCCAAGTGTTGTTAATATTTTATAACTTTTTTTATATAGTTTATGATGTAAAAAAAAATAATAGAAATGGTTAAAATGGTGAAATTGCTCGAATATTGGATTTAATATAGATGAAAATGTAAAATATGAATTCAATATTTAGCACAAGGTGCAAAGAGTGTTTTTTGATAAAAAACAAAAAATACTTTGATAAAAAATAAAAAAATTTGATAAATAAAAAGATAAGCTAAAAGTTTAATTTTATGGTTTTAATGGATTCATTATATATCAAGAAAGGTTCGTCTACAATAAGGAAAATAATGCCATTAGTAAACAACATTTTAACATAGCAACATTTTAAAATAGTAACATTTTAACATAGCAACATTTAAGGATAAAAATCATGCTGAGGCATTGTTCTGTGTTTTAAAAGAACAAGTTAATATAAATTTAATATGGAAATGACTAAGGGAGAAAAAGCTGCAAATGGTTAAAGTATCTAATAAGAAAAGTATTGTAGTCCATATGTGACTGTTAAACATTCTAGGATGATAACATTGGTAAAATGCTAAAGGTAATGTAAGTGCTGGATGATGGAGTAACAGACAGTAAATAAGTAAAAGGCAATATCTTGATAATAACTCAAATAATGTCTGAGAGAAATACCTGAAAAATCAAAATTCCATTATTTATATACTAAATGTTAATACTTGTACTTTAAAAGATAACTATAATATAGTATATACAAACATTATATAATAGTATATACAACATTATATAATAGTATATACAACATTATATAATAGTATATACAACATTATATAATAGTATATACAACATCATATATACTTATCATAAAAACATGGAGGTTATCTGTCTGTCTGTGGACATTTTCGTTTCCTGCTGTAAACTCAAAAACTATTTTGTATAGCGAAAAAGTAAAAAATGAACTTTTTTCTAATTCAATTAGTAAATAAAAAATGTTTTAAATAATTAAAAAAAAGTGTCACTGTACTTTTATTTGATGTCATTCAACAGTTTTTTGAACTGTTTCATTTTGACGTCAAAAAATGTCAAATAAAATTGCTTGTATAACTACTGATTTTACATTTTATTTTACATTATTTATTTTACATTATATTTTATGTTATATTTTACTTTATACTAAATTTTATTTAATATGTAGTGGCGTATATTCAGCGAGCATTGTAGAAGTTTGGCAGCAGGTTATATAGTGGGCAGGTAGCTTGCAGACATTTTATTAGTTGCGTATCAGACAATGTAACTTGCGGTTTAGCATGTGGTTAACCTTCAGGCTTAGTAATAACTATGAGCAGGCTAAGAGTTAGTTAGGTAGTGGGTTTTTTATACGGACTTATATCCTAAATTAAAATTAAAACAAATAAAAAGCATCAATCAATTCTTTCCGCTATTGCAAAAACTATCTTACTAGTAATAGTATACACAGCATTATATAATAGTATATTCAACATATAATAGTATATACAACATTATATAATAGTATATACAACACTATATAATAGTATATACAACATTATATAATAGTATATACAACACTTTTTTATTAACCGACTTGGTACCAAAATATTAACTACCCTGGTAAAATTTTAACTACAAAATATTAACTACCCTGGTACCAAAATATTAACTACCCTGGTAAAAAAGTATAAAGGTTCAAGTGTAAAAAAGTGATAAAAATTTTGATATATAAAAATTTATTATTTTTATTGTATTTTTAATGATTGTACCTATATATTTTTACTTAGAGATAATATTGACACTGATATTTATGGTGCAAATCTTTACAACAATTATTTAAAGGCGTTACAAGGTTCTAATATTGGTATGCTTTATTTTTTATTTTTTTAAATGCATCCTTTACAAAAAAGAGACAGATTGAGAATGTTTGTGCATGAGTGGACATGGCAACATTTCTAAAATTACTACCTGATCTCAATTGCTCAGCATGCAAAAGGAGAAAAAAAAATAGATAAAGAATATTAATTTTATTTAAAGAATATAAATTTAATAGTAGAACAATAATTGTTTATTATTGTTACAGTTATTATTATCATTTATTTTTTATATTATTATTATAGAAAAAAGTTCACTAGCTGTAGGCTAATATATTTTTATCCATTTGCTGACAAAGTTTATGTCTATTTTATTGATGAGCTT